TCTGACTCATCCAATCCTCCTCAATTTCAGTTGTTCATGTCCTTATTTGATGATTCTGCATTATTTATCAATCAATATAACATTTTTTCTTTTGATCAAGGTGGTCCATCAAATGAGGTATTTGTCACCTCTCGAAAATCAAGCTCTTTAGTCGAATCACCTTGGTTTGATTTAAATATGCCAACTACATAGACAAATGAGATATTAGATCAAACCCAAGAAGTAAATATACAATAATGACCACAGCATGCGCGGAGGAGACCAAGATGTGACACTGGGAGTCATTATTTGTGAGATAAATTAATTCTTATTTTAGTTCATGTCAATTTAATTATTATTTATTATTAATTTTATAAAACTTAATCATTACTTACTTTCATTAATCACTTTTTTAATTAATGTAATATTAATTAGTACCGTTATCATTATATAATGATTAACTCATTATTCTATTTATATGATCATTATTAACATCCTTGTAAGAATATTTATGTGGTGAGAGATTGTGCAGAAGTTGTTCAAATGCTGATAAAATTTGAAAGTTGTTCACACTAAAATGAATTTCAGCTGGACGGGAAACAAGGTTTATTGAAGAAATTGTTCTTACTAAGTTGAATTTTAAAAGTTGTTCAACCCAAGGTGAAGTTCATCTGCATGGGAAACAATGTTTATTGAAGAAATTGTTCTTACTAAGATGAACTTTTAAAGTTTTTCAAGCCAAGAATAACTTTGAATGTAGTATTTGGGAATATAATTTCTACTATGTAGCATTTGAAGAATTATCTTTTGGGAAAATGACAAGACAATGACTGTTAAAATTTGAAATGATAAAATAGGCATACGAATATATGAAATGACCAAATGGTCATGAGATATCAATCTGGAATTTTGACAATTCAGTAGAAAGACTAAAATGCCCCTAACATGTATTTAGAACCAATTTCACTACTCCGGTAATGATAATGACAATATTTGTAATATGAATTACAATTTTCGTAATGAGAGTTATCATTTCGTTATTGTCATTTACAACTTGTTTATTTGAAACCCAAGTAACATGTATTTGGAGCTAATTTCACTATCTTGGTAATGATAATGACAACATTTATAATGTAAATTACAACTTTTTTAATGAGAGTTACTATCTCGTTATTGTTATTTGTAACTCGTTTATTTCAAACAAAGTAACATGTATTTGGAGCCAATTTCACTACCCTGATAATGATAATGACAACATTTGTAATGTGAATTATAACTTTTGCAATGAGAGTTACCATTTCGCTATTGCCATTTACAACTTGTTTCTTTCAAACTCAAGTAACATATATTTGGAGCCAATTTCACTATCCTAGTAATGATAATGACAATATTTGTAATGTGAATTACAACTTTCTTATTGAGAGTTACTACGTGTTCATATCTTCAAAGAGGTTTAGGGACATTTTAGTCTTTTCACCGAATTGTCAAAATTCCAGATTGATACCTCATGCCCATTTAGTCATTTCATATATTCGCATGCTTATTTTATCATTTCAAATTTCAATAGTTATTTTTTTAGTCATTTTTCCTTATTTTTTGCTTGCAGCGTTTTGGCAAAAATTCTGAAAAATATTTATCTCCTCCTTTTGTGATATTCCAAGTCTGTGCTCCCTTTTTTTGGGGGGGGGGGGGACCATTTTTGTCTCTTCAGCTTCTTCCCAAGTCATTTCAGCCTTGACAGCGACACCACCCAGCTGATCATAATGCCTTTTTCGGGCCTCTTTCCTGATCTCTTTATTGCCTTGAGGAAAATACATACCCCATATGGATCATTGCAACGTTGTATATAATTACTGGATTAAGGTAAAAATTTGTGTCGGTGAGGAGCTGATAACTTTTTTAAGCCGTCTGTTAAAAATATTATTCCACTTATCTTATTTATAAAATTATAAATAATTTTTAATATAATTTATACAAATTAAAATTTTTTTTACACTTTATGAATTCTCATTTATAATTTAATAATTTTTCAACTTCATCCTTATTTAATATACATTATATTTTATGTAAATAAAGTTAACATAATAATAATAATAAATGAAGGGTAAAATTATTTTCATATAAAATTTTTTTGTCACTATCCTGTAAATGGAATCAAAAATATTTTTTCTTTCTTCCGAGTGACACTTAACCTTGGTTTTTAAACAGAGTAGGGTAACTTGTTACATTTTGAAACTTTAAGTATAATATTAAACTAAAAAATCTTTCAAAATAAACATTACTCTTAAGCAAAATTATTGAGACAAATGTATTCCTTAATTTTAGATTATTATATAGCGATAAGGTGCAAATTTATTGGTAAAGTATTCCCAAATACTCCTCCGATCCTTAATATAGGACTCAATTAGTGAGTTGGTTTTGGTTCTAAATATAAGACCAATTTCTCATATTTATCAATTTTCTCTAAATTATCTCTATAGATATTCCCTCAACTATAATCAAGTAGAAAAGAGAGAGGGAGTATTAAGAAAGATGATTATGGTGTTTTAGGAAAAATGTGTCACTTTTCTTATAATTAACTAACTTACCTAACTTCCTTAATCTAATCAAATTAGTTAAATGGGTCTTATATTAAGGACCGGAGGAGTATGTATTTAGATCCATAAAATTTCTTTGTATACAAAATTGTACATGAAGGTCCCAAAAATACCATAATTGCTAACATGACTTAATGTTTAAGATATTATTACGCATCAAATATAAGCACCTCTTCAAATAAAAATTTAAATGTTGGTTTGTCATTTGGTAAGAAATCAGTCTCTTTTGTTAAACTCAACTTCATTAATAATACTCCTTCAGTCCTTAATACAGAATTTAATTTAAAAGTCGATATTAATCCTATATATAAGACTGGTTTTGTATGTTTGTTAATTGTTTTTCAAATTAACCCTATTATATTTTCTCAACAATAATCAAATAAGAGATAAGGGAGAGAATCAGGAAAGATGATTAGGATGTTCTAACAAAAAAAAAATCATATTAACTAATTTAATTAAAATCTTTAATTTACTCAAATTAATTAATTGAGTTTTACATTAACAACCAGAGTAATAATTATTAAAATACCTCTCATTTCCTTCTCCCTCCAAGTTTCCAACCCAACAAAAACCATAACCTTTCCTTATCTCCTCTCTGTTGATTGAATCCAGCACCCCAAAATCTGAATAAACAACAATGCGTACGACAGTACACCTCTTTACAGACTGGTGAAAGAAAAATCAACCTCGAGAGTTTTGATAGGTTTATTACCTTCAATACTGTGATCTTCATACTAATGTTCTGATTTCCTTCTAAACAGTATTCCAGCCATTGTTGGATTGGTTAACCACTTAGGGAGACAAAATCTGTGAGGACGGCAATACTTACTTCACATCAATATTGACTTTCACACTGTCTGATTGCAGGTTCAGCCAAATCTTATCTCAATGAGTCGATTACAAACGTTCAGATTTATATTAACAACTCCGATGAATTTTAACGAAAAAAATAAGAACAAAAAAGCAAATTTTTTAAAACCATTAAAGATTACATTTATTTGAATTTGTTATGGGATAAAGATTTTTTTCGCGGGAGAATTAACCTCTATTTGGATGGAAAGAAAAGTTGAGACAAGAGAAAATTAGAGAGAAAATATTATCATCTCTTATGTCTGGATGGACAAAAGAAAATGAGTAAATATATGAATGACTAAAATACCCTTTCTGTTATATCAAAATATATTTTGATTAAAATCAAATTAAATATCATAATGAAAAACCATATTTACATTAACATAATCATATAATTTAAAATCAAATTATTTGATAAAGATATATTATCATGTTATTATATTTTAATATTAGATAATTTTGTAAAAAAAGAAAAAAAAATAACATTTTGTGTAATGTAATGCTAAAAAAACCAAAAAGAATAACTCTACTTATTTTTTCTTTCAGTTCATTTTAGAAGGCTTTTTGCAATTTTAATAATCACATTTTTCAATCAAGCAAACACAGAAGAAAGACTTGATAATAATAAATAAAATGAAAAAAAGTAAATAGGTATTACTCCTCCGGTCCTTAATATAGGACCAAATTGTTAAGTTAATTTTGGTCTTAAATATAAGACCCATTTCTCATATTTATCAATTTTCTCTAAATTACCCCTATGAATACTCCCTCAACCATAATCAAGTAGAAGAGGCAGAAGGGGTATTAAGAAAGATGATTATGGTGTTTTAGAAAAAACGTGTCACATTTATAATTAACTAACTTACCTAATTTCCTTAATTTAATCAAATTAGTTAAATAAGCTTTATATTAAGGACCGGAAGAGTATTTTGCTAAAAAAAACATGTGTAAGGGTAGATAGAAAAAATATGTTTTTGTCTTATTTTCTCTTCATATATATAGAGAAAAGTTAGGAGGAAAATGGGATATAGAACCTTCTTTATTGTCTTCCCAACTTTTCTTTCCTCCCACTTTTCTTCCCTCAGGAAAAAACCACTTCTCCCCCTATTTTCCTTCCTAGTTTTCCTTCCTCCCTTATTTTCTCTCCATCCAAACATAGCATAAGAGTGACAATGACATGGCATAATATGTAGCATAACATCCTACATGCAGAGCCACCTCAACACTAATTGGTCCATTAAACATTTGACCGTTAGGATCTGTCAACATAAGGTGACATTGCTATTTACAATTTCCAGAATGATACTGCTCTGAAAAAAACTTCCTAACAGCAGTGCTCTTTACGAAAACTTCTGAGACAAAAATAACACTTATCCCATTTTTTATTCATTAGCCCAATCATACAAAATTTAACTGAAAAATGTTTATACAACACATAAAGCAGGCCCTACTCTGGTGAGCAGGTTAATTTCCTCAAAACTGGTATGACCAGTTGACCAGCTCAGATAAAAATATAATTTACCCTCCATATTCGTTGGGGAAAAAAGTAAACCTCCCCTTACACATGAATCGAAATATAACATCTATTATATATTTATTATCATTAATGAACAATGTACTCATTTGTTCTCTCTTTCCTTCTATTCTAAAGTAGCATAAAACCCCGCAAGACTTCTCAAAATTGATGAATTTTACAACAAACGTAAAGAAATAATTTAATGCATAAAACTCTAGCACAAACAGCCTCAAAGCCCCATAGCAGCTTTTATAATCACGTTGGGGATTACATGAAGTGCGAGAAATTACAAGTTAAATTCCTCTCTGATCCCATATCTAATACAAAAGAACACTCTCAAGGCCTAAATTTTAACATTGAAGTAATCTGGGTCAAAATGATGCAACCTTACATAACCATCTTCACCTCCACTTGAAAAGCTGCAATGAGAGAATGATCTTGAAGTCAGCACATATTAAAGACACAGTTCAACAGTAACTCATATTATAACATTGTGCAATTGTATACTCTAAGACAGTCAGAAAGGAAAGGAGAGTAGTAACCCAATAGATTAAATGGAACACAAAATAGGATATGAAATCATAACTAAGTTTCTTGGAACCATTGTCAGTTCAGCACCAAAAAACTACACATAGACCAAGTTAATCTATGAGAATGGTTCATATACAGTCAGGAATTTTATTTACCAACAATGACCCCATTTATATCTCTATTTGAGGTTGCACATTTTATGCACATGGTCATTTTTTTCCCCCACTGAATAATTAGACAATCTAACTTTTCGTCTTCGCTAACAAATGTTGAAATGTCAACATAATAACATATCGGATATAAACATTGCACAGCCTATTTCCAAATCTTGCCATTTTAAAGAATATTTGTCTACAATGAGGTTCATCATGTAGCAAAAGGTTAATAATCTCAGCCATTGAAAAGATAACTTAGTAAAGAAAGTTTAATCAGCAGACTTTACAATAACAAAAAATAACCACTATTACACGAGAGGGGGGGGGGAGAGAGCAAGGGATATACCTCCTGCCATCAGGGTTAAAAGCAAGTGCATTAATTGGTCCAAAATGCCCCTTCACACCACCAATTTCTTCTTGAAGAATCTAAATCGAGGACAAAAAATATGAGACATACAAGCAGAACAATATGTACACGACACATCATCAAGATAAATCCAAGTAAGAAAAAAGGGGCAAATAAATTAACCTTATCAAAAAACTTGGCTTCAAATTTTCCGGCACGATGATCAGTAGTGGTAACAGCTGATGCGTCCTGACCACCTCCAAGCACCACCTAGAAAACACATTACATGACCTTCAGAAAACCATAGACAAACTGAACAAATGCATCATTCAAGTAAAGACATTGAAAAGGGGCTTAAAGCAGCTGGATCATTTTCATCTAACATTGTCAACTCATTTAGAAGACCATGTATTTGTTAGGTCACAATCAATAGCAACATACTACAAGAAAATGGTAATTTCTGGGGTATAAGTTGACACCGTGAAATAAAAAATTAATAATATCCATTACCAGCTCAATGCCGTAACATCAAACCCAAACTTTAATCCTTCGGCGAGATATACCAGAAACAATATTACAAAAAACATGAAAATAACATAACAAGCATCAAATTTAAAATAAGATAAATACATACATGATCAAGAAGAGGTGACATGGCCACTGCATTGACTGGGCGCTCTGTTACATATGTCTTGATAAGAGACAATGATCTGGCATCCCAAAGCTAAGACATGCGAACAGAGGAGAAAAGAACAATTAAAAATATGATTCCAAGTTCTTCGTACAAATGTGAATTAAAAAAACTACCAATAACAGAAAGACATAAGGAATGAATATTTTAATACCTTAGCTGATTTATCAAGGGATCCAGTCAAGAAATGGGAACCATCAGCAGATTTTGCAAGAGATGTTATTGTCTTCTTGTGGCCAGATTCCTTGTCCACCTCCTTAAGTAGCTTTCCCGTCTGCCAAATCATGCAAGACACAGGTTGATGAGAGAAGCAGAGTCATTGAACAGAAACACTGCAAGATCTTTGGTAGCAGGTATCCTCATAAAACAGAGAAGGAAAATAACATCAAACTACAAGATTCAACAGTATTCAATCCGGCGTTCACACCCTACCTATGATTTAATGATAGCAATATCACCAAATGACAATATAAATATGAAGGTCACTAACCTCAGAATCCCATAAACGGATCACTGCATCTTCTCCACCACTAATAATGGTTTTGTTTAGTGGACCCCAGATGGCTCTATTTATTCTTCCCTGAGGACCTTTAATGACAAGTATAGATTCGCCAGTTTCTGAAAAATGGGTCATCAATTGTTACCAACGGTAGCATGAGAATTAGCTGTATACAAAGTTCACAATACTTTGAATGTGCATATTTTCAAATGTTTGCATGCAACAGGAGGGCAGGGCAACGAGCAAGATAACATTGACATCTCTCAACTCTTAAATAGCTATGGATGGTCTGCAGGCAACTGCTGTGGATGTGCTATACAGGGTGCCTAAACAGCCTATACGAAGAATCCATTTCTTATCTATAATAATAGCTCAATAAGGAAACATCATGCGTCACTTGAACTACATTAAAAAATACGGATAATAAAACATAATGCTCAAATAGGGACGGAATCTTCCCCACAACCATCAACCATACGTGTCCAACAAACAGAATAAGCTCGTTTGCTTCTTTACACGTATACTTGAAAGAACTAGACGAGGAGACTTGCCCCCCATTGGTAAACGCTCAAAAGTAAGGTTTTTGTCACTTAAGAGATACACCCCTAAACTACAGATACTTGGATGCAACAATGAAAAGGAATCAAACCATAAAAGCAAGGAACATAAAGATTGGGCTTTACGGTCACTGTTGTCTCTAGCAATGCGTTTGACATGAATTGCAGAAGGCAATTCCATGAAGGGATCAGTTGTGATGACAGCGAGCTTGTCGGCCACAGCGAAATCCACAGACCTAGCAGGAGAATCAAAATTGAACGTGAACAACTGCTGCCCAGTTTGAACATCCCATAGCTTCGCCGTCTGATCCGCACTGCCCGTTATAAGTCGCATTGAATCCCCTAAATAGCGATAGACATTGTTAATAAAATCCACTATTAACTCTAAAAGGATTTCGTCAATAGCCAATGCAAAATATCAGAGAAGAAGAGGGAAATAAAGGAACTTGCTTGATACATCGCAGCACCAAACAGCGCCGTTGTGTCCACGATAAGTGCCCAAGCGTTCACCGTTGTCGGCGAACCAGACGGTGGGGTTGTGATCCTTCGCACAAGAGAAGAGAAGATCTCCATCTCTGTTGTACTTGAGAAACGTCAATGGCCTCTCATGGCCCTTCATCAAAATCGGCCTCATGGTTGTTTCTTTAACTCTAGAGAGAAGAAACCACCTTCTGCGAGTTTGTGGTACCAGGAAGAAAGAAAGGTTTAGGGTTCTTCAACAAGTTACAAGCTAAAGCCATGAAGGTGCAGCCCCAAATTTATTAATAAATCACCGTCATATTATTATTTTTCAATAAATGTAGCGAAAAATGATCACTAGATCAAATTGGTTTTTTTTTTGGCCAACGCATTAGATCGGATGTCAAATTATAATCATAGTTTACTTGAAAAATAATAAAAGATAACAAGCTATATTTAAATACAATCCTTTGGATGTAACCAAAAAAAAATCCTTTGGATAATAAGACAAGATTTTTTTTTTTGAAAAAAAACTAGATTTAAATGTACTCATATCGGCAAAAATAAATAAATAAAGTGCTCATTAACTGTACAGACCCAAATCCTATAAAACAAAGAAAAAATTACAAATAAAAACCCCTTAATATACAAAATTATGATTTGAGAATCTAAATTTAGAAAATAGCAAATAAGAATCAAATCTCACTTTTACAAATATGAAATATGGGTGAAATATCTAAAATACCTCTCAGCCAAATTGTGATTTGGTCTACTGAAATTATCATTCACTAAAGTGAGCTTGTTATTTCCTATAGTCAACTCGTCATTTAGCATACTCTCAACTAAGTTGTAATTTGATCTATTGAAATTGTTATTAGCTAAAGTGAACTTGTCATTTTCCATAGTCAACTTGCCATTTGGCTGAGAGGCATGGACATTTCACCATGATTTTATATTTATAAAAGTAGGACTGGGTCCTTATTTGCTATTATTCAAATTTAGAATCCCAAATTACAAATTTATATATTAGGGAGTCTTTATTTGTAATTTTTTCTAAAACAAAAACACATAAAACAATTTCCACCAACGGTGAACTGAAAATCCTTGAATCCTGGGAAAAAGAGAGGGAAAAAACAATTACAGCTCTAATTACGCGATTCCGAATTTGTTAATTTGCAGCTTCTTGTTTAAATCAATACGAGGTGTTTGATGTCAGTTAAGGCCAGCTACTCCGATTATATACATGCACACATGTTAGTACTATCTCTTCTTAATATAAGGTACTCCTCCGGTCCTAATTATAAGACCCAATTGACTTATTTGAGGAGATTAAGGAAGTAAGTTAAGTTGGTTATTTATAATAAATAAGTGTTGTCATTCCTAAAATATCCTTGCTAATTAAGTATATTGGCTAAAACTATCATTATTAGAAGATTATCTTGGAAAAAAATGCATAAATATAAGAGACAAAATAGATTGGGTCTTATAATTAGGACCAAATAAAAAGTCAAATTGGGTCTTATAATAAGGACCGGAGGAGTATCATTTAACTTTTATTTTGATATTTATATAAGACTTCAATTCACTTTGTCTCTCATATTTATCTATTTTTCCCCCTAAGATAATCCTTGGTAGTTTTAGCCACCAAACTTGATTAACAGGATATTTTAGAAAAAATAATATCTATTTATTACAAATAACTAATTTAACTTATTTCTTTAATCTATTTAAATTAGTTAACTAGTTTTTATACTTAGGATCAGATATAGTATTATATAAAGATAGGAAGACTAGATTTATATATTCTCACATTGTATAGTATAAGGCCCACTTTAATTCCTAAATAAAATATTATTTTTCAAAATTCATCTTGAAAAAGAAAAATTCATATATTATAAAGATTAAAAAAAATTGCATCAGTTGTATTCGATAATGAGGAAAAATAATCAACGTACTGTTTACTACTTAATACTCTCTGAACGTACAGCCATTTCATAAGTTACCAGAAATGGGCACGACAATCTTAGAAGAAAATTTGTTATTTCAACAATACGTACAGCCTTCATTTGTTGCAGTAATAATACCATTGCCGGTGAATCTGCAAATGCTTTAACTTCACACAGTTGCTTTGGCAGTTTGAGGCTGAAATTGCTTTATGCTGTTTTGCAGGTTAAATTGTGAGTGCACACTGACTGGAAGACGCATGATTCCAATGGTGGCCCTCTTGAAGAAGTTCAAGCAAGACAACTTCTGTATTGATAAACAGGGCATGTTTTATTTATCTTTTCGAAAAAATCATAAAAAATTCAAAACTACACCATTTTTTGTCTATAAGATAGCAAAATGTCACTCATTTTATATTTTATATAGAATCTAATGGTGAAGGGGGGGGGGGAGACAACATTTGGGAGAGTGGGAGATTAGAGGCCCCTTGCCCCATAAAGTGATTATTAAGTTGCATTTAAGTATAATAGAAGCTAATTATGCTGGTAGGTTGTTCTATGTCAATCTTTTGATTTCTGTGAAATATGTCATATTCCGTTCATCTCATTCTGTCCGAATCCATGCATGACTTAAATTGGTTGTTGCTGTGCACTATTCTTTTTTCGTTTGCCAGTATAAGAACAGTGACGGTTTTGCATTTGTTCTTCCTTCTTAAACTTTTGTTTTTTTAATTTATTTATAAGTTTGATGAGCTTCCGTGTTTAAGGTTTTAAACATTAGCAAAGAAATTTAATGTACTGGGGGAAGTCCCATGTAGAACAGAAAAACTAACAAGCTTCTGCGGTCAGACTCAGCATGTTCTCTTAGTTTACTTCACAGCACATGACTAAATATTCCAAGAGAACTTGTGATGCACACTTCCATATGTAACATTAGATATTTACGAAAGCACATTTAGTCTTTGAAGTTGGCCAATTATTTTTTTACACTGAACAATTCAGGTGCAGTTGTACTCAATGCATATATTCATGGGCTAATGAAAGGCCAAAATTCCCAAAAAGCTGAAAAGATTTTCTAGAGGATGAGAAGGGATGGCTGCAAGCCAACTACTGAAACATATACCAAGATGATAAACTTATACAGGAAGGCAAGGCAGTTAGGTATATCCGAATTTGTTTAATATTTTTTAAATGGTCACTCTTACGAGCATGCCAGCAACAAGATTTCCAAATGATCTAATGGTCTATGAAAACATCTATAGCCCACATTCATATGAATTTGTGGTCCATGAGTAGAGTGCAGAGGTGTCAGTTATGATTTCGTTGTTTGATTCTCCCAAAAGCAGCTTTGTCCTACTTTTCTCACACCTTATCTCGGGAAAAACCTTATTTGAGGGAAGATAGTGACCTTATTCCTATAACTCCCACTTACATTCTCAAATGCATTATTCAGTGCTAGTAATAACTTGTAAATCCTCTTTCTCCCCACAATTTTAAAAGGTAAAGGGATCACGAAAGAATCAATGCTAAAATTTACGGTATTCATTCTGAAATATACGAGATTCATTGCATTAAATTAGAATACTGTACATCCATTATAAAGGCAAATGTGGCAGTGCATCGGCAATACAAGGAAAAAGGAAAACCATACATGTAGCCCTAATACAAGATTTTAGAAACTATAAACAGGCCCCATGGTGTGCTGGCATGATCCATAATTTTGTGATTGGGCCTTGACATGTTGGACTTCACAGTGTGCATTTATGATAGGGCTTATTCTTCAAGACAATTCACTTGAGGTTGGCTGCACCAGTGTAGCAAATCCATGTTTAAGTTGCAAGCTCATTGATTTGCTGCCGATATTGTGTAAGGAGGGATATTGGGCTACAGACATATCTCCATGTTCAGGTCATGCAAAGTGAATTCATTCCTGAATAACTCAGCCATGTTTAATTGGTTGTGTAGATTCCTTATGCATCCTCCGAAATAACCTTTACAGTGTCAAAGACTAGCAAGACTCTCCTCTATTGTTATTCACGGAATTTAAGCAGTCAGGCATATTAATCTCAGCTTTCCGTATTTTGAACCTTGGATCTTTTTTCTGTGGAATTGGTATACTTCTAGTCAAGTAATCCCCCTTCCCATTTTATGATCTATATACACAAATGACCCCATGGGAGAAAATTGAGCCTGTTGTGTTTGTGCCCTGTGATGAATAGTTGTATATTGTGCCATGGCTGGTGGGCATGTCCATCTCAGATAAGAACCCATCCTTTTTCTCAGAGTGTCATGGCTGTTTGGAATGTGTATTATGGCATCTGGTTGGTTCAGGCTGGTCTGACTTTTGAAACAAAACAAAGTTACTTAATAAGTTAGTAACCATAACTTTAGTAAGTAATTCATGGACTGAAGTTTGGAACCTACTGATTTTCTATTCGTGAATACTTCCCAGTATATTTTATTTTATATAAATTTCTAGTTCTCTGTTTTGGTTTCCATTATCTTTCCATTATTAAGTAATAACAATAACTGGCCTGATAGAGTGAATGCATGTGCCATGTAATTACTGGTGCAATGCATTTCACAATAGAAATTATAGTTATAGTTATTACTTATTGTAGTAATTTATATTATAAAATATTATGCTTCCATCTCCTGAAGAAAATCCTGACATATCGCAACAGTCGTGCAGCTTATCCATATGGGGCTGCAGAAATTTTTTCATTAATACAGCACATGGGATGTGAACCGGATCAAACTTCATATAATATCATAGTAGACGCCTGTGGGAGAGCAGGTCTTCAAGAGGGTAAATTTATCAACTTGCTTTGTTTATATAATAAATGGACTACTAACTATCTTATGCATTGTGCAAGCTCTGCATCCTTTGACTATAACTTGTGAATATAAAATTGAGCAATTGCAAGTGAGAGAAGAAAGAAAAATCCTTTAAACCTTTTCCAATTTTGCATGGTTACAGATGGTGGTCATCAAGAGTGGGTTGTAACTGTGGAATTCCTAAGTTGTATCTTACTTATCAAACTTGTACAAGATATGGGAGCCTTCAATTGGCTAAAGAAGTTTTGGCCAGCCTTCCTTGCTTTTACAGCTCTGAAACTTCAGAGGATGTCTCTGGAAGTATACTTTTCCCCCGAGGTGGGTAAAATGAAAGTGTACTTTTACTTCTCTCCGAAAACAAAACAAATATTCATTTCTTTTTTTAATTCTTTCTTTTACTTGTTTGAAAACAGAGACTTTACCTTTGTTTCGTCTAAACTGGACTGACTTTGATTAGGAAGAATTGGAACAACAAACTTTGTTGTCTTGCCATAAACTAATTCTCCTTACGAAATGATTTTATAATTTCACTTCTAAATATGAAATGTGGAAGCAGAAGCTGTCTTTGAAGAGATGAAGAAAGTAGGAAAGACACCAACAATGAAGTCCCACATGGCTTTTTTATCTGTCTATTCCAAAACAGGCACCGTGGGTAAATGCCAGGACATTCTTAACCAAATGCATAAATCTGGTCTGAAACTAGATACTTATGTTCTCAACAATATGCTAAACTTGTATGGAAGGCTAGTCCAACATGAAAAGATGGAGGAAGTACTGTCAGTGATAGAGAAAAGATCACATGATGATATCAGCACATACGACTCTACCAATGTTCCAGTCTCTTCCTGGCAAGGATTTAAGGCCTAATGCGGTGACTTGGACATCTCAAATTGGAGCTTACTATAGAAAGAAACTCTATGGTAAGAGCTTAGAAATATTTGAAGAAATGGTTGTTTCTGGTTGCTACCCAGGTGTAGAAACTGCCAAGGTAGTACTAGCTAGCAGCGTGTTCCAATGAGGATAGACTAATGCTGAGCAGGTCTCTACTGTAATCAGAACAATGCAACAGGATTTGAAGAGTGATTTGCTCATATGATTCTTGCTTTGTTGTATGAATGGATATATACTTATTACTGATGCTGAGACAGCCAATGAGAAAATACATTCTTATAACATCATATCAGTGTGAGATTATCTTGCCTTGTAAATGTTGTCTCAGTTTATACAGTGTTGACAATTGAATTAGATGAACTCCTTTGCTTCTTATGGTTGGAGTACATAATTTTCTTGCTTCTGTCAAAAAAATGCCTCGGCTAATCATAGTGAAGCTGCAAAATTTTTGACCTTCGATTCTCTATAGTAATTAATTTGATGCACAGAATGTTGTGAGGGGAAAAAGTAAGTTTGAAGGATAAAATGAGTATTATATACCTGTAATGTCTACATTTTCAGAGTTCATCAAGGTTTTAAAGAAGTTTTTTTTTTTTTTTCCTTGGTCGGAAAAGCCAACTATCAATGAAATAAAATACCACCAAACAAAGTCTGATAAAATCAAAAGATGAAAACAAAAAGAAAAAACGAAAAGCACCATAAACTAAGACACCAACTTAGCCAACTCCTAGACGTTCTGCTTTATGCCAGGATACTATTATTAACATCCCTACTCAGCAGATTCAACAAAAGAGATGGTGGGCAAAAAACCCAACCGAAGGACACACCTTCTCAAGAGTAGCCTTAGCAAATAGCAAGCCAGTCAGCAATCAATGAGTTTAAATATTAAATATTAAATATTAAATATTAAATAATATTACATAAAAACTTATCCTTTATACTAGAGTAGCCAAGTAGTCCTAATAATTTGACTGCTATGAATTAGCAATGATCAAGTCTCAATAAATTCACAACTTACAGCTACTAAATCTGTCATTCAAGGGTTATGGTCTCATTATTGCAATTTGAAAGCGAATTATATAAATAGAATTGGCCACTGGGAATTAAAAGAAAGCTTAAAGAAAGAAAGAAAGAAAGAAAAGGAACGAAGGAATAAGGCAATGAATCATAAAGACAAAAACATGAGTCAGTACTGAGGCTGATGCTCACTCACGGACTGATGATTCCATAGCAGGAAACAAAAGACACCACCTACGACAAAAACTGTCACACTGTTTTTTTTTTTTTTTTTTTTTGCCTTTTTTTCCTTCTTCGAATAATTACCGTAACGAACATTACAGTCAACCTTTTTACTGTTGCAGGCTTATCACTTTTCAAAACTTTAATGATACTGAATGACGTTTGATCTAAACCTAACACGCCGCCATTAATTCCTCTTTGAACTCCATGTTATCTACCAGTTTCACACAGACATGTTAACTATTGTAAACCGGTCTTTCAGAACCAATGCTTGAATTTGATTTCTATCAATTTTTCAGTGAGAAAATAATGTTATTATTTTTAAAAAAATTGTTTATACCAATTCATCAACGGATATATTTTATTTTAAATAATTAACAATTAATTATCACTACTGTCCCGCAGGGGAATCCTTTTTTTTTTGTGGGTAATTTATACCATACAATTTATACTTTTTTTCTTTCTAGCAAAATACTCATCTGAATATTGTTTGTACTTTGTACTGTTTGTATCCTTGGTGAAGAAAACAAATCCTTTCCACTTTAACTAGAATACAACTTACTTCAAACTCAGTCTAATAAGCATCTAGAATTAATTGAAATTTAATACAAGGGCCTTCTAGAGCTAACTTTGTGATATCCTTCAGGCAATGCAAGGGCCTTTTCTCTAAGACAAATGTCATGTTTGTAATAGATTACTGTTGTTTTTAGGATAACTTTTTTAAAAAAATTTATTTATTAAAAGTTCAAATTTGATTACCTTTTTGCAAACCTGTGCGTTTGCCCAAGGGAACTTCCATAGATACATGTAAATATATACTCTTCCAATCTTTAATATAAGACATATTTAACTAATTTAATTAGATTAAGAAAGTTAGGTAAGTTAGTTAATTATAAGAAATATGACATATTTTTCTTAAAATACTATAATAATCTTTTTTAATATCCTCCCTCACTTACTTGATTATGGTTGAGGGAGTATCTATAGAAGTAATTTAAGAAAAATTGATATTTATGAAAAATAAGTCTTATATTTAGGAGCAAAATTAACTTAAGAATTAGGTCCTATACAGAGGAGTAATATATACGAACAGGAGTTAATTTAACACTGTTCGTTTAAGCAAAAGAATTGAATAATAAAGTGAGGCGGAGCAGTTGAACTGGGTTTAGCCATATGTAAAACTTGTAAGCGAAAATGTGTATAACCAAAGCTTTAAAAATTAATCGTTAACATTAAATTATGAAAACATGCCAACACAGTACCTGAAAGTGTGCATATTTTATGAAGTTGTTGTATTAGTGATAGAGTGATTAGATATAAAAATTCCTTTTGTATCAAAATATAAGGGATTAGGTATAGCCAACAGGCAACATATAAGATAATTAATTTCATAGCAAGTCGCTTTATTTGGAAGTCAATATATATATAGTGAATTATAATGAGAATTTATATATAAAGAAATTAGAACAAAATCAGCCTTTGTCTTTTCCATTGGAATGTAGTCAACATGTGAAGATTCTCCGAAAGAGAGCGGCAACTTCCTCGTTCGGTGAAAATAGTGAGACAAATTTGACTTTGCCACATGTTTTCATTTCCATGTCTTTGATTTGCTCCATATATACCCTAGACGTGACTTCAATGTAACAGTAATTGATTACTAGCCTAGAAGATATAGTTAATTATATCATAATTTTTAAAATTTCAAAATATACATGGACATGTATATGTACATTTAACAAAAGTAACATAGGGAAAAAAGATGCAAAATATATAAATGTATTTTGAATAAGCACTACTCCATCATACAAATGTTCCCATTAATTATGTCATTAACAAAAGCATAAAATATATATTACAATCATGATTTTGTGGTATAAACTAATTAATGTCATCTATTTCTCTCCACATATATATATCTCATCAAGATTATCTATATATATCTTGAACTGTTTTTGTTTTGGAGCATATATTACACGAAAAGTATAGGTGCAATAATGTTTACATAGTGAACGTTTATATCCTGAGAGAAATTAAAGTGAGTGAAGGTTAAAGAGAATAGGAGGATTGAAAGTTGGAGGCATGAAACCCTAATATTCAACACAGATTTCCAACTAACAAAAGAAAAGAAGAAAAGTAGATACACACGCAATTTGGTTCCTGAAAAGATATATACCTCCTAATGCATTGGTTACGTACACTTTAGTCCATCAACTGGACCAAATGGTATATTTACCATGATTATCAATTTGAGGAACTAATTCAATAATCAAGGAGATATATTCTTCAAGGAGTACCGAATTGTATATTTTACTCCAGAAAAGAAAGAAAAAACGAAGGTTTAGCCAAGTTAGCTTTGGCATCTGAAACTAGTCCGATTCACATGTTTGATATTAATTTCTTCTCCTAATTTATATTTCCTCGATCATTGCAGCGTCGTGCTTCTGAAACTTTGGCTTGCCTGTCCAGCTGCTGGTTCCAAAGAACTCATGTTCATGCTTCCATGTTGTTGAGGTTCTCTCTGTGAAAACCCACCATTCATGTTTCTCACCATTCCTCCGACACCTAAAAAGTCTAACGTTAATTTATCAGAACCTCCAAAGCTCACACCCAGATTCTGTTGCAGACTATTAGCCTGATCGTTCCCTGCTTGCACATTTCCGAATATGGAAGGATTCCCATTAGCAAGAGAGTTCATCAACCCTCGAAGATGGTGGTGGTGGTGGTGGTGGTCGTTTTCTGCTGTACCGTCACTTCCAAAAGTGACAAGATTATCCGATTTAGCACCATTATTATTATTGGTTGTTGAACCACCCATTCCTCGAAGTAACGAGGAAGAACTATTATTTGACGTTGTTGTGGTCGAGCCCATTTGAGCAGCTTTCTGAAGCAATGCAGTCGCAGACATATGAGCCGCCGCTGGAGAAACGTCGTCGTGTTGGATTGAGTTGCTAAAGAGCACTGAGGAAGCTAAACCAGCTGACCCGACATGGTGATGATGATCACCAATAGGGTTATTGAACTGACCAGTGATCATACTGTTATTAGGGAAGAACCCTAGATTAAAAGGATTCGACGAACTGTTGTTATTACTAGGGTTTCCTTGAAGATCAGGAAGCTGCATGAGGCCATGTATAGAGGAAGCCTTGCCGGAAGACGAGAATGCTGCTTGCTGCTGAAATCCTTGGTTAGGGATCGGATCTGTGGTGAAAAAAGCTGAGGAATTATTGGGCATTGATGGGTTTGATGAGGAGGGTGAGATTAAGCCGGTGGGCTCAAATTTTGCTGCATTGGCATTGCCTAGACGCAAGATACCGGTATTATTAGGGTTTGTTGCAGAAGCAGCAGCAGCGTGGAGGTTTTGATGATGAAGATGATGATGGGACATTGAGGAACCAGCAACTTGCTGATGATGAGATAGGCCTAAGCTCATGTGGTGGTTTGTCCCATAAAGATGAGTGCCTATAGGGTTTAAGCTTGCAGGGTTCCTCGCACTCTCCTGAGCTAGGGCATCACAGAAGGCTCTGTGAGTGATAAAACTGTCACGTCTGCAACAAAACGTTATGGAGACAATTTTATGTTACTAAGTTTTGATTAACAAATCAAAATATATAATTAACATGCCACGTGTATATATATTGTATCAAAATCTCACGTACACATGCAGATATGTGACATATATGTACTTAGAATACGTAGACATGAATTAATACACACACACAATTACTTATGCATTATTAGAAATAAAAGAAAATACACATCGACGAGTATGTACATTGTTCTACACTAGAAAAATATGAACGAAAATAATAGCTTAGGAATCTAATTTTCCTTAAATAATGTTTCCCAATTTGTGTCTGGTGTTCAGAGAAAGCTTTGCTTCTCTGGAGATTGAGAGAAATAATCAAAGAAAACATATAAAATAACAAATGTAATGATTATTTATGCAGCTAATTGAAATTGACAATTGGAGAAAAATGGTATCGTGTTGTAATTTTTTGGCTACGTACCTATCAACAATAAGATGAGCATTCTAATTTTAATTCTAATGGAAGATGTATTTACGCATGAATTGTTGGTTTAACAATACTTTTTCATATATAAGTCGTAAATGGAAATGTGTTCAAAGGAGAAACAAATAGATTGTATAACACAAATAGAAATAAGCAATTAATGTAAGGGAATTAAAACTAAATGTTTTCAAAGCGAACCATATATAATTGAGATAAAGAAAAATTAAACTAGAGGCAGAGGAGGAGGGCCCAGGAGATTATACCAAAATCTATATAAATCCAATAATTCCAACGAGAACTTCCACTTTGGGGCATCTTTTTAAATCAATGAAAAGATGAAAATCATTTGCATATTTGATGAAAGTCAATACCGATATGCCTGGACATGGGACCGACCTCAATAAATGAAAACTATCTCACATGTCTTGTCCTCTAATTAAATTTCCATGATGAGCATTGTTTCAGCACAATCGTACCAGCAAAGAATCGCTAAATTCTCGGAAAACAAGTGAGAAAACACAGAGACTAGATATAGTTTGGAGAATTAAAATATCATTCACATACATGGAAATCTGGAAGATGAATTTGTTTAATAATATATATATTTTTCTTCTCCCATTAATCTTTGTATAGCTAGGTCCCATGGCCAGAAAGTACCTGAATACAATTGAAACTAAATACAAATAGCCAACTCATAAGAGAACAAAACCTGGTATCTCTGTGTCTGTCCCTTGCATTGTTGCTTATAACTACACGTGAATGGGAATAAGGGTGAAGGGCGATGTTCCCAAGGACCAAAGTTTTTAACTTTTCCTTGTTTTTTCCCTCTCAAACCAACACACATTTTAATTTGTTTTTTGAATCCTAGTTTTTTACAGTGCAGCACTCACGTGCGAGCAGTCTTCTGATGCAATATTGATATCATTCCCTCCTCATCTCCTGACCATACTTTTGAGTCATATATTTGACTGCTCAGTTAATTAGATTTGTCCAGAACAAATAATCTTTTTATATAGTTTTAATCAAATAACAAATTCAGAATAATGTGTCTAAATTGATTCGACAACTAGCCAAGACTAACTCATAATAAGTCACTTTTCATTCAAAAAATTCTAGGAACCCATATTATTGTGTAGTCCAAATTAAAGTTTTTTTTTAAGCTCGTTCACTTTCTTTACTCTCTTAACATTTTACTTTAATCAAAATCATGATTTTGGTCACTAGACAATACATTGTGATCTTTGAAGATTAAATATATTTCAAAATGGTCCTCCTCGATCACATTAAGCTCGCAATGAACAAATAATTAACGAGATATAAACGACATATATATGTAGTATAACAAAATGCTGCATTTCAATCATAAACTTAATTAATGCTTCTTTTGAAAAGGATCTCATGCAAACGTTTTATAGCCACATTTCTCATTTTGTTGATTATAATTAAGCAGTATCGATTGTCCCATTAATTGTATGTTACTAAAGCTTAATAATATGTTGACCCATTTAAAACAAAAACAGGTTTGAAACAAGGACTAATATTAATAGAGATTTAATTTACACAAGTTATATCTTTCACACTACTCTTTCTAACTCGTCTAATTATAGATGCGAGTCTTAGAAACCCCAAGAAACCCTCAAGTTCCCCAGAAACAAATTGTCAGCTCTCTGAGCCGAAGAAAAAGCTAGCTAAGCATGCATATATATAGATTTGCATATATAACAATCAGCAAAAGCATATAGATGAAGCTGAAAGTGATTAATTAATCAATTACCTGGAGAAGAGAGTGCCACAGTCGCATCTGTATTCTCTGGTACCACAAGTCTTGGAATGTGCTTTCCAATCAGATTGAACAGCGTATTTCTTGGAACACTTCTCGCACTTCCATTTCTTCTCGCCATGTTTGCGAGAATAGTGCTTCTTAATGCCAGTGAGGTCACCCAGGGCTCTTGAAGGGTCATGGTGGACGCATGTGGGCTCTGGACACAGATAAACCTTTCTCTTTGGCTCTTTGTTAGTCTTCTGCTTCAGCTTCCATGGTAGGTTGTGTCCTCTTCTGTGGAGTTGTAGGTTCTGCTCTCTTTGGAACCCTTTGTTGCATACCTCACATATGAACCTGTTTGTCGCCATTAATGTCTTGGGAGATAGAGCTATCACCTCCGCATCTGGATCTGTGCGTTCTCACACAAGATGACAAACCACAAAAAGTTAGACAGATTCCTGTACTACTGTATCCATGTGCTCAAGAACTGAAGAACTCAACCACTTGAAAAGATGCTGAAACCAGAAAAAGGTGTTGAGATAAATTAATTGCAGATGAGTCCAGGTCTAATTTTCCAATCACTGAAGCTAAGGGCCAAGGTTATGAGATAGAATTGAAGCTCGGGATGAATCAAATAAGAGTTTTATCGATCAGATGTGTTTTATGCGATGGGAATTGATATAAGTATATATGTATAAAAACATATATATAGAGGTACTTGCTTGGTGTTCCAGGTTGATTCCTTCTTTTCTTCTGAGGCACTGCTGTGTTTGGAGCAGTCGAGGAAGCAGCCGTGGAGGATTGATGATGTTGGTGCTGCTGTTGTGTCATCTGAATTGGGTTTTCTTCTGTGATTCCGAAGAACGGTGAAGACGAGGAAGCAGCAGACATGTTCTTGGGAAAAGTCAAGCGAATCTGTAAGGAAAAATTTAATTAAAAAAAAACTCTTGTGAGAGAAAGGAAAGAGAAATTAATAGGCAGAAGAAAGAACAAGCTAATATAGCAACCTGATGAAGTATGTATTTGTTGGGGTTTATTTTTTTGTGCGCCTCTATCCCAGATCTGTTTGTCTCTTAGAAGAAAAGCTTTTTCTGATGAGATTATAAAACCCAGAAAACAGCAGGCATAAAAGAATCAAATTAGGAGACAGCTACAATCCGGAAAGGAATTATAGAGAGAGAGCGAGAGAGAGAGAGAGGAAAAGAAAATGGCTGGGTGCAAGTAATAAGTATGTATGTATTCCTACTTATCCTGTCTTCTCTCTGGCTATTGTTTTGTTGTGCATAAAATTTATCCCTCTCGTTTCTTATTCCTCAATCATTTGATGTCATGTACATAATTAATAATACTCAGCATATACTTGTCCACCTATACTAGCTTGCTAGCTAGCTCTCAGCCCGTGTGTGTGTGTGTGTGTGTGTCATCTATATATATATGTATATATATGTATCAGTGTCTCTCTCTCTGTGTGATCAGAGAAGTTAATTAAGGAAGTAGTAAAGATGGAGAAGAGAAGAGCGAAGATTAAAAGGGGTTAATAATGTCGCTGTACTGCTGAACAGGCTAGGTAGCTGCTGTGAGCATAGCAGAATGGAAGGTGATGGGTTTAGGGGTTGGGGGCCACCAAGTAGCCAAACGCCTTATCTCTCCTTCTCTTATTTCGTATCTTGTTGCCAACAACAAGACACCCCTCTCTCTTTTCCTCATTTCCATCCTCATCCCTCCATCCACCCCGGCCTCCCTCTATTTCCCTTGCTAGCTCCCTTTAATCTCTCCCACAAATCTTCTTTTTACGTATTTCTCGTCCAATGCAATCACTTAATAATATATATATCTCTCTCTATATATAGTTCCCATATGCACGGAGTTCAACATAAATTCGTTGGTATTTCTACTAGTCAAAAAGCAATCATCACAAGTTTGTGTATTATGTATGAAGAAAATTATCGTTATTAGGAAAGCTTTACATTTGTCGGTCCAATAATCTCTCGCTCCATTTAGGGTAAGAATCCATTCAAAAACAAGTTGGTAAATTGGAAAAAGAATTATCTGCATCAATTTTTTTTTCCTGTCAAACTCATGAATATATCATTTACACAAAGTTCGAACTCAAGTACTCACACTTTAAAAAGACTTAAAATAAGCGTTTGGTGTCATTGAGCCACAAAGTCCCTACCACGTCTACCATCAAAACATCTATCGTAAATTATTATATGAATAATTTGGTTATACTCATGAGCTACCAATTTATAAACACATGTACATATACTTACACACACACACACACATTAATGGGAGCATATTCATCTTAATTTAGACCGTGCAAATTGATTTTAGATTATCTAGATTCAATTTAATTTTTAAAAATATTTTAAACATTTTTATTTTAATAAATGCATAATTTAAATTAAGGATAATATTATAATTGATACTTCTTAAAGAAATTAAATTATAATTAAAAAATTTTGAATTAAAATTTTAAATCTAGACAATCAAATTAGGCTTTGGATGGTCTAGATTTCATCACAATGATGAGTACACGATGTTGATCATTGTGACAAACACTGAATGAAAATCGATATGTTAATGGTGAAATAAAATGTAAAGTAGTATTGTGATGAATTGGTAATAATGTGAGTGAGTGAAGTAAGAGAGAGAGAGAAGGGGAAGTCCCGTTTTGATTGTTTCGCACTCAGAGACCTCAACAGTAATATGATTAATTAAATGACAGAATCTGATTTAGTGTGGACTTTGAATTCTACACGCCTCAATCCATATACGTAATAACAAAGTAGTGGCTAATCAAAATTGTGCCAAGACAAATATTGCTACTTAGCATATATACTTAAAAAGTGTCGAGCTGTTTGTACTCTTTTCCATGCAAAAACCTAATTACTTCCAACGAAATATTCCATCCATAAATTGACAATTCCTTATGTGCTTCTCTTTCAGCATCAATATATATATATATATATTGATATATATAATGTGAAGTTTGCATAAAATTGTACTGTTCATGAATTAGTCCATTTTAAAGTTTCGTATGGAAATTTCTTATACTAGGATAGTAATCAAATAATAAAATAGACAAATAAATAATATAAGTTTTGGCTTTATTTTTATTAGGAGGTGAGTCTATTTTAATTTATTAAACTGAATTTTCTTTAGAGGGACTATTGATTTATGGCACTCTATAACGATAACTAATAATTTCTCTTGCTTTATTTCTAGATGAATTTTATTTGATTTTATTTAGACAGCCCTTGTAATAATTTTATATATATATATATATATATGTGTGTGTGTGTGTGTGTGTTGTGACTTGTGCCTCTTTAAGAGTAATTAAAAATTTATCCTCTTTGTCAGCACACCTAAAGATTCCATTCATTTTCTAATGGAATAAATGTTGGAAGAGCTCACTCATACAATATTTTTACGATAATATTTTTAATGCATATATAATAAAATTTATGCTGCAGGGTGAAACGACTTTGGATCTTCTCGTGTCTTGCTCCCAATTTTATATATTACTATAATAAGATAAAATAAATTTAAATCATATCATAACTAAGAAAAATAAAAGTACACGTGGAAGAGTGAGTTTTTTTTTGGGGGACTGAGAAGAGTGAGAGTTAATTAACTGCTTGAAATTAAATTACATAATACCATTTTTTTACGTTTAATTACATTTTACTACTACTGGTTAATTGTATATTCAAAAAATTACTTTTAAAAAATTCTCTTGATTTGGCAATTGCCGAAGCCACTAATATAATAATACGTGCTCACGGTTTATGGATCATACAATTTGACCATGATCAGCTTCAAGGGTAACAGAATTTATCAAATATCCTAAAATGTAATGCCACCTCATGTATTTAATATAAAAGCTAGTTTGATTTTTAATTTTATCCTAAATATATCTCTTTAATATATTTTGTCTCTCATATTTAATTATTTTTTTAAAATTGTAATTGTAATAGTTGCATATGTTAAATATTGTCTTTCTAGTACGTAGTTGCATATATTAAAGATTGTCTTTATAGTAACTACATATGTTAAAAATTCTCTCAAATGATAGTTCTAGTTAATACAAATGGTTAGCAAAGTAATTCTAAAAAAGACAATACTTATTTATTATAAAAAAACTAACTTAACAAACTTTCTTAATCTACTCAAATTAGTCAACTAGCTCTTATATTAAGAACTAAAGGTAATGCATGGGTGTGTGTGTGTGTAATATCGATACGTTTGACGTATTGGGAGTTTGTATAGTGTTTGTTTGTTTTACAGATTAGATGTGGGCAATATATAGGCTAGTAAAGTGGTTGCCGTTTATTACCCAAAAGGTTACCATTACATCATGGAGTTGTTTAAAATGTGTTCTATATTTTATATTTATCACTTATGTGATTTGCCCAATTGCGAAGAAATTAATTACCTTACATATATGATCTTATTTTAATTTAAAATTTTGACAGCAAACAATCAAGGAAATATTCAATTGGTTAAAATAATTTAACATTTTTAATGCCTGTTTTATTTATATCTTTTAATTTTTTTAACAAAAATTCAGGTGAGTTGAATTTAATTTCACAGGCTCTGTAGAAGTGATGTCATAGGTTTCACAATTTTAAAAGTGCAGCAACTTGTAATATTTTTATTGCATTATGAGCTTATTAGTTGCAAGAATTAAATAAGTGGATATATAATTTCAATCCAAATGTTATAAAAAATAATCTATGAATATTTTCAAAAAAGTATTCAAGGTACCACTAGCAAAACGTACATTTCACAATCAAAATATTTACCCTTTGAATTATTAATATTGAATTTTCCATAAAGTAATCAATCTAATTACGGGACAAACTAATAACTGTCATTTCTGTTTTGGTTTTTTTTTTTGGTGGTAGAACTCATAGTATTCTCAAACCATTTTAAACTTAAGACTAATCTCTGTCAGGTTAGGAGCGTTAAGGTTAAAACCCTTTTAACATATGTCCTTTTCAGGATTCGAATTTGTATTCTCCTCTTTACGGAGGTGAGATCACTTACCATTTTAACCAACAGCTTGTTGGTCATTTTTGTTATTTTTTATTAGAAGGTACACATAACATTTCTTATTCATATAAATCGGCTTGCGATTGTATGAAAAATTAAGGATTCACATAATATTTTCTTATGCTCTCACATATACTTCTCCGTTAATTTATTTTTTTGGTGAAACAAACAAAGTCAATATAAATTAGTTTCGACATTGTTTTCATGTGAGTACGCATGACGACAATATAATGACATTCAAATAAAGGACATGTTGTAAAAGATTCCCAAGTATCATTCTTCAGCACTGACTTCATATAAGAACAAGAGAATATATGCCTGATTTTTTTAGAATAAAGATAATTAACATCTCGACATTAATTCTTTCACATTTATTAATAATCAAATTTTACGAAACATATATGAAGTCCTTTTGGTTTAAGAAACTTTACATTGGACCACATGTGAAATCATCGGGTATATCATGACTCCCTTAATTAAATAACCAAATTAATTCCGCTAAGGCAAATCCCAATTAAAAAAATTAAATGTCTTAATTTGTTAAATATTGCTCCTTTGTTTAATCCTACGACGTGGTCATGTTATTTATAATGTTGTTAATTAAAACATGAATGATTATTGTGTGGAAGGGAACAAGTTTACTTTACATCATTTAATTGTGCCCGTAATGACTTAATTAATTATGCAAAGGAAAAGAGATAGTGTGGAAAAATGTTATGCTTGAGCAATCAGCTAGAAGCCATAACATTATAGGTTTACACGCCGAACATGGCCTTAAGTTTATCACCAATAATAACGTATTATATAATAATCTCTCCAGTCCTTTATATAAAATACAATTTTTAAAATAGGAATAATAATCCTTTTCACAAGTTACCCTTTTACCTTTATCGATTGCAAGTCTTTATATTAATAATTATCATATTGTTGGCTAATAACTACATTTTGGTAGATCCTCTCTCATATCTTCTTTCGCATTTTTTTATGTTTTTTTTACTTGTTTTTTTTTTTCATCACTCATTCTCTTAATAAATAAAGAGGTATATATTAGTTATTTGTAACTAATATTAACTGATTTTTTTATTTACATAATAGTTGAGTTATTTATATCTTATAACCAGAAGTAGGAGATGATGATTGAAAAATGAAAGGCACGAATTGGAAAA